AAAAGGGTTGACGTTAAGTGTTAAAACCTGGGAGCTCTCATTGGTTCCTTCATAAACACATCACTGCCCAGTGCCTTGGAATACATTTTTTACAAAGTGTAGGAATTGTACCAGAAACTAATATTATTTGAGGAAAGTTTGTCCCACCTGGGACACTAGAGAGCACTCAGAGAGTGGCAGGGATCCCGATAATCCTGTCTCACACCGCTGGCTTTGGAGTGAAAAAATCTCAGGTCTGAGTCCAGCACCGGAATGCTCAGGGCGGTTGAACTTGTTCTAGAGGAACCGATTTTAGCTCTCCCTCCTCCAGGTCAGGTGTGCATTCAAAGCCAAGGGATGAGCCTTCCTGAGAATGACTTGAAAGTGTGATGTTTACAAACACAAAAGCATACAATTTCTAGCTTTCAAGAAAAAAAGATCCCATAAAAAATCATTAAAAAAAAAAGGCCCAGGTAGCATCATGCGTTTTTAATTCCTGAACTCGGGAGAGGCAGGCAAATCTCTAGGCCAGCCTGGTCTACTGAGCAGTTCCAGGATAGCTAAGGCTACACAGAGAAACCCTGTCTCAAAAAACAAATAAAAAAAAAAAAAAAAAAAAAAGGAGGGAAGGAGAGAGAGAGGGAGAGAGAGAGAGAGAGAGAGAGAGAGAGAGAGAGAGAGAGAGAGAGAGAGAAAGAAAGAAAGAAAGAAAGAAAGAAAGAAAGAAAGAAAGAAAGAAAGAAAGAAAGAAAGAAAGAGAAAAACTGTGGAATTGTGGAATAAGAAGGCTGAAACCCTTGGATATGTTTCCTTTTTCTGCTATCTATATGGCTTACTTTATAGATAAAACAGTTTGTTAAGGTGTGATATGATCTAGTAGCAATAGTTCCTTGTTCTTTATCATGAAGAGTATGACCATTTCATTTAATCTTACAAATCAAACACGTTTTTATCTGCTGCTTACACATAACACATAATGTATTGTGTATGAAATAGAGAATTTACGGAAATGGGCCTCACCCATGTTCCTCTTTATTAGATTTAGTTAAAGGCAACAGCACTAACTGATAATAACCCTTTATCTTTGGGAAGATAAAATGTATTTTTCTCCTGACAGAAAACACATGTTAAATATGTTATGAATTTAAACTCCAGTATTGAAATCTAGATGATCAGTGTCTGTTCACCTACTGCAGAAAATAAAATGATCTGTGTGGGGATTTTTTTGTATTGTTTTTGTTTGTTTAATTCTTAAGCAGAAAGAGTTCTTTTTTAAAACTCACCTTAAAATTAAGTTATGGAAATTCCCTATTTCCACTAACTTTTTATAGTTAATATGGAGAGGACTTAGTCTATGATTCATGAATCTTCAACTAAATTTTAACTACTTGAGAATGGTGGCCAGCACGTAGGGGACCAGACTAGGCACTACCCTGGAAAGAGTGCCCGGGAGGGAGGACCTGGAAACTGCCTTGCCCCAGGGGCATCAGGCTCCACATATGGAAGGAGAGTTAGGAACGGGAAAGGCTAGGCAACCTGGTCCTCCAGGGTACAGGGTAGGGAGGAGTCTTCAGCAGGCCCCTCCTCAAGTGACTAAGGAGATGGAGGAAGTCCCATCATTTTTAGTCTGCAAGAGAAGAAAGCAAAACTGCCTGGGCTGTTCAATGTACCTGAACAGGTAGACACCACAGGGGAGTGAGTGGCAGGAAGATGGTATAAGTCTCCGCTAAGCCAGACCAGGGAACCAGGAGCACAGATCTTCCCGCGCCAGAAATGGGTGTCCTCCCTGAACAGAGATCCCAATTTCACGCTTCCCCACCCCCCATCAGATCTAAGTCCCGATGCATCCATCTGTCTACCTGCCTCGTGGGTCACGATGTTTTCTTGCTACTCAGTCTCCTCCTTCATGCTAATCTCTTCTGCAAACAGCCTCCCAGACACAGCAGAAGAATACTGCACAACTGTGTGGCCACCCATTTGTCCAGTCAAGGAAGACAAAAAAAATAATAATAATAATAAGCATCTTATTTGTGATAGAAAACCTGACCCTGAATATCAACTAATAACACTGAGCTATAGGGGAAGAGTAGATTTGAACTGCGAGCAGCTCATCTTTTAACTGTTGCCTAAGCCCAGGGAGCTGTTGGATAAGCAGAGTTTTACACAGGGAGACTCACAGGCCTTGATCCATCAAGTGGAAAAGGTACGCGCAGTAACAATTAGCCAAGAATGAAGGGAAAAAGCATCAAAGAGTCCATTATAAACTTCAAAGGTACCGTGAAGTGGAACGATGGACTCCAAGTGCTTTGTTGACACATGAAAGGGTCCACATGTCTTCCTGGTGACACTGTAAATGTATTGGTAGAACAGGCACACAATCTCTTATAACACCACACAGCTGGTCTTTCCCTATGCCCCAGACAGTATCCTTTAGAGATCATCGAAAATACAGGAACCAAAAAAAGGGAGACATACATTTAAAGACCGCCATACTGGTGTAATGAAAACTAAAATGTCAGAGGTGCCCAGCAGCATGAAAAGGATTAGGAAAATCATACTTTATCTACAGGAACAAATACTAGAAAACAGCTAAGTCTCATGAAAGTACCTGTAAGCAGAATGCTGATATGTCCCACTTTTAAAAAGTATACACCATGGGGGGTGGGGCTAGAGAATGGCTTATTGGGGAAAGTCTGGGTACACAAGCAAGAGGACCTGAGTTCAGATCTCTAGTACACACTTTAATAAACCAGGCTTGGGCTGGGTACTCGAAATCCCAGTGCTGGGAAACAGAGGCAAGAGGATCCTAGCAGTTCACTCATCAGCCGTTCTAGCCACACAGGGCTTCAGATTCAGGCAATGACCCTGTTTCCAAACTTAAGGTTCAGAGCAATAGAGAAAAATACCCATTGTTGATCTCTGGTCTCCACATGTTCACACACAGACACTTGCAACTAAACACACATATGTGCACATACATCAGAGAGAGAGAGAGAGAGAGAGAGAGAGAGAGAGAGAGAGAGAGAGAGAGAGAAGCTATGGTCTTTCTTTTCTTTCTTGGGCAAGGGATCCAAGACAGGGCTCTGTGTGTGCTGGGCAGATACTCTACCAATGAGCAACACAGCCAACCCCAATATGTTTTAAGTAAAAGGTTAAAGAAACAATGAGTAGAACCTATAGGGAGCAGAGGAAGCCCTGAGTGAACAAAGTCCCGAGAGAATGTTATTTTGACACAGGCACAGCTACATAGAGGACTACAAGACCTTGGACCCATGGGACTATTGGCAAAACCACTGCCCATATGGCCCAGGCTCAAGAGGAATGACAAAGCTGTTCTTGGGAGTCGGAGTATTTATGAGCAATTGATCAGTGTGTGCAAAGACTAGCAACTGCAGCTTCTTCCTCTTGGACGTTCACAGCCTAAGAGTGCATGATTCCTATTTAGATCAGCTTACCCTATCCCCACTCCTGTGCTCTACCTAATAAACAAGCTGATTACCCAGGTTGTGGTGGTGGCAGAACCCGACCAGATCCTAGCTTCACTACATGTGTGTCTGTTCTTTCTTCACTCCCTCGCTGCCTCTAGTCAGGGTTCTGGACTCAAGCCACACGAATCCTGGCAGGAACAAACGCGCACACGATTAAAGCAGGCACTACTAAAAGGCAAGAGACAATGAAGTGACGTCACTAAATAGCCATTCATCAAGTCCCTACTAGGTTCAGGGTATTTTCTAGGTGGTAAACACCTAGTCAACAAGAAACCAAAATCAATGCCATCTTGCCGTTCTCATCCATGGACAGACGCACACAAGAAATGCGAACAGTAAGATATACAATGTGCATATTTTCCACTGATGTGTAACCCCCATGAAATACATGTGCGGCTCTTAAGCGTGTACCTATGTGACTTTGCTATCTGTATTCTTTGTGTAATTGCCATCCAGATCTAGATAAGGAGCATGTCTAGCTCTCCACAAGTTCCTGTCAATAAACAACCCTGCCAAAGTCAACATGCATTTGACCCAATCACACTTCCTATCAAAGTGGAATGATAAGAATGCACTTTCTACCTGCGTGGATCATCATGTCATTGTCGGCATCAGTCAACACTATGTCGCCGAGACGCATACGTGCTGTGGTCTAGGACACTGCCACATTTATCTTAAATTATGGTATTCTGTTTCATTACATGTTAATGGCTTTATATTAATAAACTACACTTGATTTATTAATCTCCTGCTGAAGAAATTTAAAATGAAGCTGTTTCCCACGTTCTTGCATAAGTCTTTCACAGCTTCTGGAAGACAAAAGTCTTGGGTGAAAGGTCACTACTTGCTCAACGCTTTACCATTGTCAAAATTCCAAAGTGGTTATACACCCAGCAAAACACAAGTTCCATTACTTCATAAACTGCCAGCGATTGCCAACCTGTTGGATCCTGGTCATCCTAGTGGGTCTATGCTAGGGTGTTACAGTGTATACAATGACTGGCGTTTGTTGTGAATTTAGGAGCTAATAAACCACTTGGATGTTCATTTTTAGGAAATGCCTGTTCAAGCCTTGGTCTGTTTTGCAATTTTTTTTCTGGTTATTTTGTTTTTGGATAAGAGGTCTTTGTTGAGTAGCCATATTCTCCCAACTGAGCCTGGACTGAACGCCTATCCATAAAGCAGTTCATTCTGGTGCCATGCATGGGAACCGCTGAGACCCTGAAAAAAATCTCCTGGCGACTCGCTCTTTGGTGTGGTTTTTAAATCGCTTTGGGAGTGCGTGATGCAAATGAAGAACTGGTGAGGAAAAATTCTGAAGAGACAAAGCTTCCCACTAACAATGTGTATAAAAGAATGTCACACATGAAGCAACACAAAAGCCAAGCTGGCAGTTGACTTAGAGACCTCGGAAGACAAAGAGACGGCCTTCCGTATTGAAGCTCCTCGATAAGGTGTTTTGGATCTGTTGGAATTAGGCTTCTCGTCAGCTGTCTGTTGTTATGACAAAATACCAACCAAAAACGACCCAAAGCGGGGGGAATGATTTATTCCAGTTCATGGTTCAGGAGCTACAGTTCAAAGGGGCAGGGAAGGCAGGCAATAGGACTGAGTCACAGATGCAGCGATAATGTTTCTGTCGCAGCACAGCTTGCTCAGAGAAACAGCACGCAGAACAAGGGCGCGGCTACCATGGTCAAAGCCTAGGCTCCCTCAGATAGACCCCCCCCCAACACCTGCCAGAGACCCCACAGTTGTCCAAAGTGGTCATCAGTTGGGAACCAAGTATCCAAACACATGAGCCTGTAAAGGGCACTTTAGCTTTAGAAGGGTACTTTGATCATGGAAAGGGGTGGCGATGGTTTACAGAGCCTATGTGGGACAGGAATTCGATGAGAAAAAAAAAATAGAGATAACTGTGAAACTTGGGGTCTGGAGCGGGGTGGAAAGAAAGGAGAAGGAAAGGGTGGCTTTGGGGCTGCAGGGACCCTGGCTGCTCCCCTGGGCTCCTTGCAATCCAAAGAAATCTGGCAACATAATCATACACCCCACCCAGCCAAGGCTCTACTTGTTGCCCCAAATGGCCATCTTTGTGAACACAGGTCTCGGGAGGAAGCGGCTACTCTTCATGTATTCTGAGATCTTCTTCAGGCCCTGTGAGCGAGAAGGATGGAGCAGGAGCTCAGGTCAGTGGCCCCACAGGGATAAGCAGCCCCACTCCAGGAGCAGCTTTCCCCATAGGCTCTAGTATTAGAATTCTGAATGGGGAACTCTTCAGTTTCCTATAAAGACTCTACAACAGGCTTTGCATCCATGTATATGCTATTATGTATATATATTACATTATATATATATATGCTCAGATCACCCACTTGATAATCCAAGATCAGTCTCACTGTGCCTACATGTCAACAAAAGCTGAGGTCCAGAGGTGTTAGGTGGCTTTCTCCTGTTCACACAGCTGGTCCCTGGGACAGGGACCAAGTCAGCCTGGCTCTAGGGCTTCCATTCTGTATCCTCTTTGCCCAGTCCCATCCTCTCCTCTTGCAGGACACCCCACCACCCCCTGTCTTCACAGACAGGCTCCTTTTCAACAGGGAACATCCTCTTGGCTGGTTTACACAGAAAATATCTGTAACAGGACAAGGAGGTCCAAAACAGGCCAGTGCAGCACACCAGAGAGCCAGGACCTCAACAACTGACCTGGCAAACCCAGGATGAAGTGCACAAGGGGAGGAGGGGGCAGCTCTAATCACTCCTGAAAGTAGAGGTCCAACCTGTTCTCTGTGGAACCTCAGGCCAATCTCACTGTGCCCCAAGCTGCCACATATCCAGCCCTGCTATATACAGAGACTGCAAAGGGACACCAAGTGTGTTTTGTTCCATCTTATCGGTAGAGCCAGCTCAGATAATTCCTACAGTGTTCAGAGCCCTAGAGCTGACTGTTGTCAAGGAGACAGGAGCCGCAAGCCTTAGGCTGCAGCCCTTGGCTCTTCCATCCTTCCCTGCCATGGCCACACAGCTCTGGTATACCCCAAGGCCACTGCATCAGGACCAGAGTCAGAGCTGGTGAGAAATGAGATGAGGTATCACTTGATTTAAAGAGATGCCCGACTAGAAACCCATTGTCCCACCACCTGCAGTTGCCAAGTCTCTGAAAGGAGAGATTATGTGGGTGTTAAGGAGAGTCCGGGAGACTCGAGCAGTGAGGCTGAAGCTTCGATCCCCAGCACCCATCTGACACCATGTCTGTTAGGTCCCCATCTCTCTGCCATACTCAGTCTCTGAGTGGAGTCCTTTCCGTGTCTCATTGGGCCTGACGCTGAGTCTCATACAGAGGAGGAGGCCAGTGATAGGAGAGAATACAAAACAGCTCCATGGAGATATGGGGAAAGGGAAGAAAAGCCCCACACCATGCCACACTTTAGGATAAAACCCTGAACAGGGCCCACACTCTCTCTCAAATCTAGTATCAAAGAAACAGCCCTGGGTTTGTCATGTACTCAGATTGGGATCAAATCGAGGGGAGCGTTCTGAAGATCGGGTGTGAGTGTTGTCTACACACGGCTATTTCACACAAATCCTACCAAGCCTCCCTCTCAGAATGCCCATGGCTTACACAGTCCTGCCATGTTCTGCCTTCTCCACAGCACCCTGGGCTATGTAAACCAGACACAAGGGCCCAAGGCTCTATCTTTTGACAGAAAATAGGAACATAGCCACTGCCTGCTGACCTTAGAGACCAGATACCAAGGAGAGCTGGGTATCATCTCTGCTAGTAAGGGACTTACCCTCTATAGTCTGTTTTCATATCTATCCAATGGGAGTCACAATTCAATCTGCCCAGTTGATCATAATGATAAAGTTCACCCAAAAGAAAAAAGATGCTAAGCACAGGTACTGCCAGACTCAATAAATGCCACTGTTTTTGCTGTTTTTAACTTAGATCCAGGACTATGGATTTATCAGAGGAAGGAAGGAAATTCAAGAAAAAAAGAGGATTAGGAACATCACCTCAAAGCGGGAGATGAAGTCCTTCAGGTTGGGGAATGCATCCAGGCACTTGGGTTCAAACACTTGGTTCCTCTCCAGGACATCATAAGCGATGAAGTCCACGAAGGTGATCTGCAGGAAGCCGCCAGTGAGTGTTCTGGAATCTGGTAACCTGGGAAGAATGACAGCTCCTCCTCCTGTCCACCCCACTCCTTTTACCTTGTCTCCTGCAAACCATGGCCGCTTGCCCAGGAACTCGGAGTAAAGCCTCATCATTCCCGGGAGTTGCTCCAGGTAGCCTGCCTTCAGCTTCTCCTACAGCAGAAAACATGGTGACCACCCTCAGTCACAAGATTCTGGGCACAGGCTGAGCTCACAGGGCTGTGAAGGCCCCATCTGGGCAGAGGTGTGGCAGCCTTCCAGAGATCGGGCCCGGGTTAATCCAGGCTTTATTCAGTTATGTCATCACTGATTAGATCCCACAGGCACCAGATCCAGTGTCAGAGGTGATGAGAAGGCACACGGGAATACCCTGTCCCTGGGACTCACCACTGATGTCCAGAACCACTCTTGTGGGTCACACTCAGCACTATGTGGGCGGGCTCTGGACTCAGGTGTTATGCAGAGTCAAAGAAGCAAACAACTAAAGCACTCTGGAAAAGAAGTCGAATGTTCTACATGGTAAAGTGGCAGGAGATGGGTAGGACTTGGGCGCAGCTTCAAAAATGATGATATCAACTTGCGAGGGCGAAAGAGACCAGGGAGAGAGTTGATTGGCTGTGGATTGCCTATGGGGAACATCTGCTTACCACCTTGGGCATCCTGGGCCTGGCTCTGGGAATCTGCTTGGGAAGAGTCCCCAGGTGGTGACGCCCTTCCATTTCCAGGTGGTACCACTTTTTCTCATCGTTTGAGAGTGAACTATCGGAGCACCGATGATTTAAGTCAAGTAGAAGCCATAACCCAGGGCAGAAATGAGTAGTCAGAGCTGAGGATTCTAAACAGTCTTTCCTGCCCAGGTATTGATGTTTGACTGTGCAGGTTTGTACTGGTTGCTAAAAGCAGTGAAGTTCACTGGGAGTTTCATTTGACAAGACTCTGAGATTTGTGGGTCACTCTGTGGGCAGGAGTGTGTGTGGAGGGGGGTGAGTGTGTGTACAAGTGCCTGGAGGGGTTGGCTTGTTTTAGTAGCTTTGACTTGGAGACATCTTGCTTTGTAACCAGGAAGGCCTTAGACAGCCCCATCTTAGCTCCAGGCTGTGCCACACGAAGGCTGCAGTCCAGAGCACCATTTCTAGGTGAACAGGGCTAAAAAGATTAGATGCTAAACACACAGAGAAGGTGAGAAGGCAAGGGAACAAGCTCCTGTTCTCCCACCTCACCCAGCCGGGAGTAGGACTCACAAAGTCAGGGTTATAGCAAAGCCGGGCTAGCATCATGCGGTTGTCCATTAGCTGATTCTCCAAAATATCCACAAGGATTCTCTCCTCCTCTGTCTCCCCACCTGCGGCACACACAGCACAGACTCACTCTCAGCATCCCACTGTTCCAAGCCCAGGAGAATGGCCACCGTTCCCCACCCTGCAGCCAGCCCCACTCACACAGGTTATGCTTGCGGCCAAGGTAGCGCAGGATGGCGTTGCTCTGGGTGATCTTGTGGGGCCCGTCAATTAAATATGGCAGCTAGAGAGACAAACAGGGATGGTCAGATGGGGTATGAGGTCCCGGCATCCCTTCCTTGGGTGAGGACAGACATGGGGCCTGGCACTCAATGTGCCTGGCATGGGAAACTTTCCATGAACAATGCACATGAGTGAAAGAGCTGGGATACAGCCCGTACCAAAAAGATGATGTGGACAACCAGGGGTGGGCGGATGAAAAATCCAACACCAGACCTCCTGATCTGTGCAAAATACCATAACCTCCCCCAAACCTCCCTTCCCTGCACCTACATTGGGAAAGTCCAGGCCCAGCTTGAATTTCTCGTTCAGCCATTGGCTTTGGTCATAGTCGGGAGCTGTGGTGGACAAGGTAACATGAAATCAAAGGACCCATGTGTTCAGATCCCTCTCCCAAGACCCTCCCAAGGAATTGAAGACTCTCTGAGACAGCAGACCTGCGAGCTGACTCACGCAATCTCACACTGCAATTTTTCAAGGATAAATAAGTCTATAAGGGCTGTGGGATCCTCCATCGCTAAAGCTTACAAAATCTTTAGCCAAGTGCTGAAGGGAATGGAACCCAGTTATATATACAAAGGACCCTCTAATCGTTCCTTAGCATCTTCCATTGGTAGAGCAAACTACATGGTTAAGGTTCTATAAGGGGGTATAAACTAGTTCCAACAAGAAGAGGCAGAGCTGAGCAACAAGGGGCCTAGGCATGGGCCACTGGGCACCAGTGGGCAGGAGTAGGGTAGGGAGGGATCTGACTAGGAAGGTGCAGTCACCATCACCCATGGTGTATCTCTTCTCCTCATAGCTTGAGTCTGTGTATTCCAGCAGCAGGCGGATGGCATGGGCCAGCTGCGACAGACAACCACAGATAGTGAGATTCTTTACCCCCTCCAGATGAGTCCCCACCCCCCTGTACTAATTTTACCATCACTATGCACTGTCTCTCTGTCTCTGTCTCTCTGTCTCTCTCTTACACACACACACACACACACACACACACACACACACACACATCTGCAATAGCATGCCTCCACAGATTGCCCTCCGGAAAACAATCCTCCCCGGCAAACGAATCTACTGCGTGTGTCCTTACGCCTCCTCGGTCTTACTCTGCTTTTGGACCCTCACTTACCCCGCGGATGTCCCAGTAACCCAGTATCATGGGCATGGTGCTGTGGTCCGAAAAGACAGGGTCAGTGTCAGACTAGGGTCGACGTTCTGAAAGCTGCCAGAAATGGAGGGACCGGGACTTAGCTCTGTCAGTTTTTCAGACCGCCCGCCCCCGGCCCCAGTTTCGACCAATACCGGAGTCCAAGGGGGCGGTCCAAGCCCACCCCAAGTGAGAGCCAATGGAGCTTGAGCTCAGATATTACGCAGTGGGTTGGCTGGCCCCCTAAAGCAAAAGGCGGGGCTGGACTCGCCGGCTCCTCCTTAGTGTCTCTGCTCTCCTCCGTTCTGGGGCTGCTGTTCTGTAGCCTCCTGTCTAGCTGTCAGCCTCACTGCCTAGTGGTGACAGTTTAGGAGGCCTGGAACCTTGACAAATGTGCTCTGAGGACAAAATTATCTCTTGTGTTGTGAATACATGAAAAGGGAAAAACTGTAAAACATGATAATGTAAATATAGTCATGCATGCAAGATAAATCTTTCTAATTAAATTTGCTTCAACTTGGTGTGTTTGTGCATGTGGTGTGTGTGTGTGTGTGTGTACTGGAACATGTGGTAAATTTATCTATTTTTTCAGTTTTTTTATTTTGATATAATACTAGCCTTTGAGAGAATTCATAAAAGAAAAAGCACACACTTGTCTCCTATGAACCCTAGCTGCTCCCTTGTTCAGGTGCTCTCCCCCAAACTTGTCCTCCCTAGCCACCCCCACCACGAACCCCTCCCAGCGTGAGTACAAAAGCTTATAACCAAGATCCCATTTTGTTTCTCTCCAGCACCATCCTGGGGGTGAGTAAGACCCAGAAGGAGCTGTGGTTTATAATCATCTCTGGTGTGCTGACTCCCCAGCCAGGCCATTCATGTGGACCTATAATTTACGACAATTGATGGAACATGTTTCTCTCTGCAAGGCTTGATTCCCCAAATTCCTGAGGAACAAGTGCTCTTTGTCTTATGTTTCTTCTTCTTCTTCTTCTTCTTCTTCTTCTTCTTCTTCTTCTTCTTCTTCTTCTTCTTCTTTCTCTTCTTTTTCTTCTTCTTCGTTTGTGATGGCTTCAGAGGCTGGTCTTGGAAATCTAGGTAGCCCAGGGTGGCCATGAATTAACTTCACTTCTCCTGCCTCAACTCTCAAGTGCTGAGATTAAGAGCATGCAGCACCATGCCTATCTCTCTTAGAACATACCATCAACTCACTCCAATCTTGATTTAAAAAAAAAAAAAAAAAAACGTGTTTTATGTTTGTGTTGGTTTTATTTCTTTGTGTTAAAATGTAGTTGAAGAAGAGGAAACCTTTCCTAATTTGCAAAATCGTTGTACTGATATATTTTTTTAGGCCTGATTTTTACTAACTTGCAAATCTCAATAACACAGCAGCGTGAAAAAGATTCCAGGCACAGAAGGTGCCCTTCATGTCTAGAGACCTTGAGAAGGTCACCTGCTCAGGGGGTACCCTTCTTAGTCCTCTAGAATCCTTGTGAACCAGGCACTATTAGGGTCACCAGGCAGTCCTTCGAGGCAATGGCAAAAGCTCGTGTGACATCCAAAGCAAGTGTGACTCGGACTTTATGGGAACCATTCAAGGCCATACAGGGCCTCACTGGGGAACACCACAGGTAACCACTAGCGAGGATGAGGTGGGCATACCAGGCTCCTCAGCACAGCACAGCTAGTGCCAGAAAGGACTGTCAGGCCAGCCTCAGGGACAGTCACTTCAGGAGGCTACTTTGTTGAAGGAAAAGAAGGAGCCTAGGCTTTAAAGGGCAAGAACGGGACAGGGATCAGGGACAAAAAGAAGGGTAGGCGATACCTTGAGGTCAGGAAGAGGAAAGAAAAAGAGAAAGAGAAGGCAGTGCCGGGCTGGAGGGGAGTGGCTGCTGCTGCTGAGGCCCCAGCTTCACAGGGAGAATGAGGGTCTCACCCACACCTCGTGTCCTGTCACGGCCCTAACTGTTGCCCCAAGCGTCCATATTTAGTGGCCATCTTTGTGAGCATAGGTCTGGAAGAAGCAACTGGTCTTCGTGCAGGCAGGGGTCTGCTCCAAGCCCTGTGAGTGAGGAGATAGCGGGAGCTCCAGCCTGTGTCCCCACGGGGCTTCCCGGGGCTCCACTCCAGGAGCAGCCTTTCCCTGTGGGCGCTAATGCAGCCTCTTCAGTTTCCTGTAAAGAAGGGGAGACCTGGCCAGGGAGCGGGGGTTGCTCATACATAGAGAGTCAGAAAACTCACTTAATAATCCTGCAGGCTCTATTGGACCATGACTAGCTATCAGCAAAAGCTGAGGTCCAGAGGTGTTAGGTGGCTTTCTCCTGCTCACACAGCTGGTCCCTGGGACAGGGACTGAGTCAGCCTAGCTCTAGGGCTCCCATTCTGTGTCCTCTCTGCCCAGTGACCTCCTCTACTCCTGCAGGACACCCCACCACCCCCTGTCTCCACAGACATGCTCCTTTTCCACAGGGAACATTCTCCTGTTGCATACCTGTATCAGGACAAGGAAGTCCAGAACAGGCCAGTACAGCAGACCAAAGAGCCCAGACCTCAACAACTGACCTGGCAAACCCTGGATGAAGTGCACAAGGAGGAGCGGCAGCCTGGAGTGTTGAGCCAGTTCTAATCAATCCTGAAAGTAGAGGTCCAACCTGTTCTATGTGGAACCTCAGCCAATCTCACTGTGCCCCAAGCTGCCTCATATCCAGCCCTGCTACAGAGGACCATGCAAAGGGACACTGAGCACTGGATGTGTTTTGTTCCATCTTACCAGGAGAGCCAGCTCAGACAATCCCTACAGTGTTCAGAGCCCTAGAGCTGAATGTTGTCAAGGAGGCAGGAGCCGCAGGCCTTGCAGCAGCCCTCGGCTCTCCAGTCCATCCTTCCCATAGTCGTGCCAACATTTGCACAATCACCAAGGCTATTCCTGTATCAGAACCAGAGCCAAATAGAATCTGAGAAAGCAGAACATTTGATGGAGGGACAACTTCGGACCACAAACCTGTTGTGCTGATGCCTCCAGTACCCGAGTACATATCAAATGGACTCAAGGACCCATTGTGAAGTGGTGAAGGCTACTGTGACCCCTGGTAGCCAGGTGACTTGTATGCCACTTGCTCTCTGCTGAACTTAGTCACTGGATGGCGGGTCATCTCTGCATGGCTCGCTCTGCTTCATACAAAGAAGATAATTGAGTATCAGTGAAAATACATACATAACCCCATCTCACAGATATGAAACAAGCCACCCAGAGGATGAAGGGAGAAAAACTTGGGAATGAAGGAGACTGTTCCATTTGATTTCAAGATTAAAATCTTCCAACCAGGGAGATGGAGAGATGGTTCAGTGATTACCAGTGATGGCTACGCAATCATAAGGACCTGAGTTCTGATCTCAGCATCCATGTAACAAGCTAGACATAGGTCCATGTCGACATTAAGGAGTGGGATAGGAGCATAAATGGAGTTGGTTGACTAAAAGCCCATCTGAAAACCATGAGCTGAATTACTCGGTTCAGATAGAGATAATGCCTCAAACAGAAAAGGTGGGAAGAGCTAGAGGAGCCCTGATGTCCTCCCAAGTCCCTGTGCATGCTTACAAAATGCACACACACACACATACACGCATAGATATACACACACAAATTCTTCCAACTGGACTCCTACATGTCTACTCAAATCTAGCACCAACTATATCTCTTGGGTCTTAGTACTTCTCCACTTGGGACTATAAGTCAGTAGGATATTCTGTAGATGGAGCATGAAGACTGTCTGTCTGTGAACCTATGCCTAGCTTGTCCCCCACAATTCACAGCTGGTCCTATTCACACACACTGTGCTTTGTACGATATAGAACAAGATGGCACCATTTTAGGTGATCTTGTGACTGGCCATAGCACCCTACCTCAACCGCGGGATGTGTCTGATCTCTGCCTCACTTGTAGTGGGGGAATCTCTTGCCTTGGTTTGAACTTGTTTTTGCTCTCTCCTTCCTGTACTTTAGATATCACTTCATCTAAGGACAGGAGTGCCAGACCCAGCACCCAGGCAGGGAGCGTGTCTCTCCCTCGCAAAGGGCCCTTCTAGATAGCATAGCCCTGAACAGAGAAGGATTACAAGTGACCAGCGCCCTCTCACAAATTGACTAGGCCCTTTGTTCTTCCAGAAACCCTTATCCAGAAATGTCCCTGGTCAACAAGAAATACAAAAACACGCAATCTCTCTTAGTTGGCTAGGGGGTATCAGCTGGCCTTGTACCCATTTTCTCCTATAACACCACTCCCCGCTCCCAGTTTGTCGTCACAAGAGACCTTCAAAGCCCAGAACTCCACACTTCAGACCCCACCACGCTGTGCTTCCTCCCTTCCTGTGGGTGTTGATAAGGTCTGGCCTGAGAGCAGTTTGGCTCAACACTTCCCTCGTGAGCTGCTTTTACCTCTCAAACCCTAAACCCCAACAAAGAGAAAGCACCCTAGGGAATGGAGGGACCATGGGTGAAAGGAGGCTGAGACCCTGAAAGACTCCTTGAGCAGAGTTGCTCAATCCCCTGGATTCTCCCCATAAGAGAAGATAAACTGGGGGCAGGTCCTTGCAGAGGTCGTCCCAGGCACCTTCCTGTCACACTCTCTGCCTCCTATCCACCCAGAAGTGAAGATAGTCGCTACCAAATGCTCTGACAATCACAATATTCTGCCTAAGCACATGGGGTCATGCATACATATATACATACACACATAACATATATGCATATGTGTGTATTCATGAACTTCAAATTACTTTTCATATGCATCTAGAAAAAGAATTAGTGACTCATATTATAATTTTTTTAAAGGAAATAATTACTAACAGTTTAATTTCCACAGTAGCTGTAAGATTTTCTATTCTTAGGAGCAAGGCAAAACCCTTCCAATTACCCCACATAATCACCAAGTCTGCCATCTTGACAATGACTGCTTGACAGTGGCTAATTTGATGTGTGTGAGGCATATCTTCAATGTAGTTTTGTTTGTTCAGTGGTTAGTGATTTTGAGCAACTTTTATGTGTTTACTGTCAATTGTACAATCTCCTGTAGAAAAATGTTTGTTCGAGTCTTTTGCCCAGGTTTGAGTGTTTTGGTCTTCTTTTTGCTGCAGTAACCTGTGTCTACAGG